TGAATGGATTAAGATAAAGGTCTGTTTGATAAAAGGAATTTTTAAATTCATTAAATTACGAAATATAATTTGCGAATTTTATTTGAATCAAAAATTGATATGAATATATTAATGAGAGAAACTATCCATATAAACAACATCACAAGTCTTGAAATAAATAAATATCAAAACGTAAATATAAAGCATACATGAAAAAATAAGAATTTGATTGATTGAATTTTAATATTCGAAAAGATAATGAAATTGTTCAAATCAGAATTCAGATTGTTATAATTAATAAGAATTAACGCAGAGACATTAAGACATTGCGCACGTGAGGGTAGGGGTATGTAATGATTTAATTATGACTTTTATAATTTGAAAGTTTATATGCTTCACAAAAACGGATATTATTAAATTTAATCAGTAATAAGTTTTTGTTTTTTCTCAATGGTTAGGTTTTAAAAGTTTTAGATTTTAAGTTAACATCTTTATTATAAAATTTGGGATCGAAAGAAAATGCTCCAGATCAAAAACAAAGGCAAAGGCAGGAAAATTAACGATGCTTCACGCTCTGATATCAGTTACGTGGATAAGTCACCAGCTTCCAACCCATTAAAGAGGCGATCAGACACAAATAACAATAATCCCCATAAAAAAACTAATGTGAAGGATAAACAGCAGGGGAACATCAGTAGAGATTTAAAATTCGATTCAGATTTAAATGAAAGAACGAGAGAGATGGAAACATCTATAAACGTACCGAGGAAGAGATCTCTGAATACATCGAGAAGAGATGCTGCGTGGAAGAAGCCTGTGGTGCAACAACAGCAGCAGAAGAAGAAGGATAGTAGCAGTAGCAGTGATTCTTCCTCGGATTCGAGTTCAGAGGATGAGGCGCCAGCTAAGAAACCGATTGTTGGTGCAGGTGTGAAGACACCGGTGGCAGCTGCGACTACGAAGAAGCCTGTGGTGCAACAACAGCAGCAAAAGAAGAAGGATAGTAGCAGTAGCAGTGATTCTTTCTCCGATTCTAGTTCTGAGGTTGAGACCTCTTTAGATTCTAATGCTCATTCTCATAAATTGCCTGCTGGCAAGCGGCCCAGATCTTGTGATTCTTCTCTTAATTCTGCGCCTCCTTTGAAAATGGCTGCTGTTGATATTGCTTCGGTTACTGATGTTACCAATACTTCTATGGTTTCCCGCAACGGGAAGCGATTTGCTGATGATGATCCCTCCATTTCTTCTTCTATCCCATTTAAAAAATCGAAATCTGATTCTGGTGGATATTCTGGTAAATTTTTTTATTTCAATTCATTTCAACTTGTTTTCTTTGGATGTATTTGTGTCATTTTTTCGTCTCTAGCTTCTAGAAAGTCCTTGCCATCTCGATGGTCAAACGGCGATGGTGATACATCTACGCCTAAACGTAATGCTCCGTTTTTGCGTTACGCCAACCGTGCTCCTGAATCTGTGCATCTTTTCAAAGGCGATAATTTCCACGCACGGGTACGTGCACGCGTTATATATGTTTAACTACTCTTTAATTACCAGTAGTTATGGTAATCATTGCTTTTTTATAGCGTCAGTTGCTTGGCGAGGTGGGTGAACGAGCAGACAGGAATTTACTTGGTACAAGGGGTAGAAGTTTCCGTCATGAGAAGACGAAGGAAAAACGCGGTACTCGCAGCAATGGTCCTATTAGCACAAAGGTGGCTTCTTACCAATTCCAGTACTAAGATCCCATCATTTATCGATATGTAAATACCCATTGGATAGAATAATTTAAAGTCCTATGCTTTTCAATGCGTGTCAATATTCGGAAGTTTGCATTTCTCTCCTTTTTGATGTGTTGAATAA